CTTTCATCAATCCCCAGTTCTTTGCCACCACTAAAACAATTGCTATGAATATTTTTGTATGTATAGGTCTTTTACCTCTTTTTTTTCATCTCTTGAGGATTAGAGTTCGTAGTGGTGTTGCTTGATCAAAGGGTATGCATGATTTCATGGCTTTGGCACAGTTACAAATTTGTCCACAGAATGGTTGAATCACTGTACAACTTCATCGACAATGCCTTAGTGTCTCCATTCTTCCATATGCCCTCCAACATTCATCATTTTCAAGTTCTGTCATATTAGTCAACCTGATAGGTATGGGTTGGTAGCTCAGAGTTGTTTTAATTTGCATTTCCCTAATTAACAGTGTTTTAGAATTTTTTTTGTATGACTATGGATAGTTTTGGTCACTTCATCTGAAAACTGCCTGTTCATATCTTCTGACCATTTATCAATTGAGGAATGGTTCTTATTTCTATAAATTTGAGAAATGAGGTCTTTATTGGAGAAACACACTAAATTTTTTCCACAGTTATGATGACTACATGTTTCACTCCATTCTACTTTCCCCTTGTTTAGCCTACTGTCTCTCCTTTCACCCTGTCCATTATCAAAAGTGTTTTGCTTCTGAATTTTGCCTCCCTGCTACTGGCCCTCCCTTCTACCAGCACCTCGCTTTTCTTATCCACTTGCCTTCCTGCTTTCCTGTACGGTAAGATAGATTTCTACATCCAGCTGGATTGTATATGTTATTTCTTCTTGGAGACAACTCCAATGAGAGTAAGGTTCACTCACTTCCCTGCCCCACTTCCCCCATCTTTCCCCTCCACTGTAAAAGCTCTTTTGTGAACTCTTTTATGTCTGCCAATTTACCCCATTTTATTTCCCCTTTTCACTTTCTCCCAGTCTATTCTTTTTTTCACCCCTTAATTTAATGTTTTTAGACAATCATCCCATCACATTCAAATCATACCTCTTCCCTCCATCTATGTATACTCCCTTTAACTGCCCTAATAATGAGAAAGTTTTTCGGAATTACAAGTACCATTTTCCCATGTAAGAATATGAACAGTTTACCCTCATTGAATCCCTTATGATTCTCTTTCCTGTTTTCTCTTTTTATGCTTCTCTTAAGTTTTGTGCTTCAGAGTCAGATTTTCTATTCAGCTCTGCTCTATTCATCAGGAATTCTCGAAGGTCCTCTATTTCGTCAAATGTCCATTTTTTCCACCTGAAGATTTATACCTAGTTTTTCTGGGCAGGCAATTCTTGGTTGTAATCCTAGCTCTTTTGCCCTCTGGAATATCATATTTTAAGCCCTCTGATCCTTCAGTGTAGGAACTGCTAAATCTTGTGTTATCCTGACTGTGGCTCCAGGATACTAGGATGTTTCCTTCTGGCTGCTTGCAGTATTTCCCCCTTCTCCTGGGAGCTCTGCAATTTGGCCATAATATTCCTGGAAGTTTTCACTTTGGGATCTCTTTCAGGAGATGATTGGTGGATGCTTTTCATTTCAATTTTACCCTCTGGTTTTAGATTATCAGGGCAGATTTCCTTGATGATTTCTTGAAAAATGATGTCTAGGCTCTTTTGTTGATCACGGCTTTCAGGTAGTCCAATAAGTTTTCAATTATCTCTCCTGGATCTATTTTCCAGGTCAGTTGTTTTTTCAAAGAGATATTTCTTTTTTTCTTCTATTTTTTTCATTCTTATGATTTTTTAACTCATTCTTGATGTCTCATAAAGTCATTAGCTTCCACTCCCCAGATTACAATTTTTAAGGAGTTATTTCCTTCAGTAAGCTTTTGTGCCACCTTTTCAATTTGGCCAGTTCTCCTTTATAAGGAGTACTTGTCTTCAGTGAATTTTTGTAAACCTTTTTTCCATTTGACTACTTCTGCTTTTTAAGGAGTTCTTCTCATGAAGTGAATTTTCGTATGCCTTTTTTTCCCGTTAGCCAACTCGGCTTTTCAAGGCCTTCTCTTCACTGTATTTCTGTGCATCTTTTACTATTTGGCCTATTCTGTTTTTTAAGGTGCTATTTTCTTCAGTATGGTTTTGTGTGTGTGTGTGTGTGTGTGTGTGTGTGTGTGTGTGTTCATGTGTGCACGCGCACATGTGCGTGCCTCCTTTACCAAGCTGTTGGCACATTTTTCATGATTGTCTTGCATCACTCTCATTTCTCTTCCCAGTTTGTCTTCTACCTCTCTTTCTTATACCTTTAAAAACACTTTTAATTCCTTTTTACTCTTTCATGGCCTGCAGCCAGTCCTTATTTTCCGTTGAGGCTTTGGAGGTAGCAATTTTGACTTTGTGGTTTTCTTCTGAGCGTGTGTTTTGATTTTCCTGTCACCACATCAACTTTCTATGCTCAGGATATTTTTCTGCTGTTTGCTCATTTTTTAGCCTTTTTCTCAACTTTTACCTCTATGGTAAAGTGGGTCTCTGCTTGCAGGGTGGAGGGGGCACCATCCTGAGCTTCCGGGGTTTGGTGTGGCTGTTTAAATAGGCTATTCTGGAGACCTGTAAATTTTCGTTTCTTCCAAAGAAGCTTGATCTAAGGAGAGGTGTGTTTGCAACTCTCCTGGACTGTGCTCTCATCTGCGAGGGATCACAAGCAGTTTTTTCCACCCTGGAACTGTGTCCAGCATCCCAGGTCCCCTGTGGCCAGAGCAGTGATATGTTAGTGCTCTTCTTCACCCTGAGACTGAGGCCCAGGACTGTGACTCAAATCCATATATGGGCAATTCAATAGAGCTCTACCCCTTGTGCAGCAAGTGGACCCTGTAATCTCCTTCTGACCAGTTGTGTGACCTCTCTTACTATCTATGCCTGAGAAGTCCAGAAACCCTGCACTGCCATCACTGATTCAGTTGCCCCAAAGGCCACTGCTGTTTGATGGGCACAGCCTGTATTGGACTGTGGTCCACTCTCATCCTGGTGCAGCAGACCTTTCCTGTCAACCTTAAAAATTGTCTTGATTGGGAAAGTTGCTCCTTCCCATCCACTTGTGTGTTCTGCCATTTCAGAATTTGTCTTGGGACACTGTTTAAAGTTGTTTGGAGGGGTTTGGGGGAGAGCTGTGGAGAGACCCAAGCTTTTCTCCACCATCTTGCCAGAACTTAACCTTTTACAAATTTGTATTGATATCTGTATTATCAACATCATTTATGAATGTGCCCCTCCTTTTTTCCTACTCAATTGGCCACGTCTTATAAACAAAATAATAAAAATGAGGAGGGAAAAAAGAGACAGTTCATCAAAATTAGCAAACATATTCATCAGGTCCACAAGCAATTTTCCTCCACCTCTACAAAGAGAGGAGGGAGATAAAATTTATCTTCCCTTCCCTCTCCTTCTCTTGCCTTTCTTTCCTTTCCCACTTCTTTCTTCCTTCCTCTCCCCTTCTTTCATATCCCTTCCCTCACATTCCTTCCACTTCCCCCAACTCAACTCACCTTCCATTCCCTCTTCTTCCCTTGCCTGCCCTCATCTTCCTTTCTGCTCCTTTCCTCTCACTTCCCTCACCTTCCCTTCCCTCCCTGATTTCTAACCCCTCTCTTTTCCTCCTTTCCCTTCTGATCCTCTCCTCTCCTTTCTCTTCTCTCCTGCAGTGACAAACTTGGTTATTTTAAGGGTGAAGGATCATCTGACACAATTCTGCTATTTCTCTGGGGATGTATCCTAAGGGAAAACATTTCCTTTCTCTAAGTCTCAGTTGCCTTGGTTCTAAAAGGCAACGATTGGGTTATATTACCTCTAAGTTTTCTTCCATCTCCAAAATGCAATGGACATGCCCACAAATAGGGACCCATTGACATTCATCGCAGACATAGAATTTCTCATGTCTATTATTCACACCCATGTCTAAGTGAGCCCAAGTAGCCCAAAACAGAAGGATGTTTTAATTTCTTGGCAAATTTCTTCTGCCACCACCAAATGGAACAGAGAGCAATCACCTTCAAAAGCTTATAGTCTTTCTCTTTCACTAATTCAGCAAGAACCATACATTCCAAATGCTCCTCAGCAGAGCAAAGCCAGTCATGGTGACCACAACCTGCTGTAGTATATGTGGAGATCACTAGGAACAAACACTATGGAGGAAGGTCGTTATAAATACAGTCATAATGCTCACTTTAATTTGGCATACCTTAACAATAATCACACTGTGGGCCACTATCTCTCTCACTTCCCTTATTTTGACTCCAAAACAAGGAACAGAACAATTATGCTCAACTCTATTTCTCACCAAGGAAACCTTATTGATTCCCTTTGAGGCCCAGGTCCATTTCCTTGGTTGTGGGACAAAACCACTTAGTCAACAAACACCTGCACCCTGACAAGGAAATTTTCCTATTCTCTATCCAAATGACAGAAATCTTCCTCCCCTTCTTCCCCTTCCTCCCCTCTCTTTTCTGGCATAGAACCTAAAAGAAAAGTCCAGGCGGGATACATTAATTATTTTGGACCAGGAAAAGACATTGAGGATCAGGAAAACTGTCCTCCAGTTGTAGGACTGTCATGTTGAAGCCAGGAATTTAGTTGCTTCAACTTGGCCACAGAGGCCAGAACTAGGAGCAATGGGAAGATGTTGAAGATAGTAATATGTAGGCTTGAGAGAAGGAAAAACTTGCTATTAATAACTGTCCTAACAATGATGACATGCTTTAAGGTGCACATAAACAAGTGGCAAAAGACAAGGGGTGATTCAAAAATAAAGCATTAATTGAAAAGTCTTAAGTGGAGAAGCAATTGCTTTTTTGTTCTGGCCAAGTTAGAACATTTAACCTAAAAAAATGTTACTGATTAATCTGATGATCACTTTTTTTTTACATCATGAAACAAATAAGGAAATAAACAGGAGCTAGCAATGGCAACCATTTAGAAGTGGGGTATAAAAGAGGTCTATGAGGCCAGCAGACATCCATACTCAAGAAACTCACTCACCAGGAAACCAACCCAGAAACTCAATCCCCCAACACCATGGTCAGCTCCTGTTGTGGCTCCACCGGCTGTGGCCAAAGCTGTGGTTCTGGCTGCTGTCAGCCCTGCTGCCGCCCTGCTGCTGTTTGACCAGCTGCTGCCAGCCCTGCTGCCGCCCCAGCTGCTGCGGGTCCAGCTGCTGCCAGCCCTGCTGCCGCCCCAGCTGCTGCATTTCTAGCTGCTGCCAGCCCTGCTGCCGCCCCAGCTGCTGCGGGTCCAGCTGCTGCCAGCCCTGCTGCCGCCCCAGCTGCTGCGGGTCCAGCTGCTGCCAGCCCTGCTGCCGCCCCAGCTGCTGCGGGTCCAGCTGCTGCCAGCCCTGCTGCCGCCCCAGCTGCTGCATTTCTAGCTGCTGCCAGCCCTGCTGCCGCCCCTGCTGTTGCAGGACCACTTGCTGTAGAACCACCTGCTGCCGCCCAGCCTGCTGTGGGTCATCGTGCTGCTGAACTCTCACACACCTGTCTGCAACTGCCCACCATCCCCACCCCATCTCAAACAGGCACCACTTAATTGCTTCCTGTCATTCACTACAAAAAGAGCTTGTTCAGGGCAAGTAACAACAAAATGATCCACGTGAGACCCATTTCGAAGTGACAACCAGAAGCTCAGCACCCAACGATCACCTCTATGTTGCCTTTGTTCTCTTATGGGGACGACAACTTTGTATTTATCTCAATCCATCAGCTCAGACTCTTACTTATTCTCCCAAAGCCCCATTATCATCCTGCCTGACCTTCAGTTACCAAGTTTGTCAGCCATGTGTTCAGCTCACACCAAGATTTGAATACCAAGATCCCAAAGATACTTCGTTCTCAAATTCTTTGTCATAGAGATTTCCCTTTGTCTTAGTGTTAATCAAATTCCAAATAAAACTTCCTGGCAATTAAAGAAATCCACCGACTTGGTTTATTCTTTCTTTTTCATGTGTTCTTGCTCAATGCTGGAACAATTTTATGAAACAGAACTGCACTTCAGCAGCCATTAAGTTTAACCCAACCCCCAAAGGAATACTGACTAGGCTATACTTTGCAATCATCATCCAGCCTCTGCACATTATAAGGTGTTTTGTACAAAGTCGATAGAGTTCATCATTTCTTTCTTTTTTCCCCAAGTCATTGACTCATAAATGTATCCTATAAATACTTCCATTATATTCCTTCTTCTGCAGAGAGCTAGTCATGTGTTTGTGTGACTTGCAGTCTTCCATGAATCACTTTGTCCAATCTTTGTGTCACACCTTGGATACAGTTGGTGAATCGTCATTGTGGGATAAACTTCCTTGCTACGATAATGAAGAAAAACGATCATTTCAGAGAGACTGAATTCTGATGTGGGAAGGAGAGAACAAGATATGTTATAAAGTTTTGCTTATGAATAACGGAAAGAGTTTGGCTCCACGTATGGTCAATGTAGCATGGAGAATCAGGAAAGGAAAATTGTTAGGACATTCCAAGGAGGCATCATTCTTACTTTCTTTGCCAAGGAATCACTCTTCAGAGAGGAGGTTAGACCTAGACAACTGATCTCTTAAGGCACAACACTTATGTAGGAGGTAAGAATATGGGCATATTTTCATTCATGTTTATTAAAGCACAAAATCTTACTACTAGAAAAGCTCACCTTCCATGAAATCTGGGAATTTTTTGGAGAATATTTCAAATTTCATATGCTGCCATTGAGGCTAAAGGCCTTGGATGGATAGCAACCACTTGGCAGGAACTGAGAACTGAAGGAAAACATGGTTTATCCAAAATCCTGCATCTATTGAATCCTGACCAAAAATGGAGGTGATACAAATGTTTCTGCGCCTTATGGTTTCTTGCAATCAGAGATATAACTAGGGAGGGCCAACTAGAGCTCTACCCAGAGACTCTGAAATGCTACTGGCAACTCTAGAAATTATCACGCTTGCCCAGGGATGATTCATTAATGCAACTCCAAATTCAACTCCAGTCTGAAGAGACTTGATGAGTTCCCAGGAGCTGCATCCCACATCAGTTCCTCCAATGCCTAACTCTACCTGGCTCTTATTTTCTCTACCACTGTTCCTTAATCTCCCTAGAAATAGTCTCATGATAACTTAGGATCTCCACTCACATGGGACAAGTGTCTAAACAAGGTTTCTACATTCCCTTCACATGATCTTGTCCCGAGGTCTTTATTGCATGTTTTGTGTTGCTTTCCCTAGGGGGACTGATGCACAAAAATGGCAGGTTGTCCCTCCATTTCCAGGGTATTTTGTCACTGTATCAGTGAGGGAGGGGAGAAGGCTGTCGAAGCAACGTTCAGCCTAATCCCGCAGAAGCTAGTAAATCAGTGAATATGGCACATTGACTTCATTAAAGAAACAAGTTTTCATATTTTCATTCTGCACAAGTATTATGTCTTTGCAGATTAATTTAATTCAACAAACAGGCATTAAATTCCTCCTGTGTTTATGTACTTAAATACATGTGTATTAAATACCATATTTGGGTGACACTGGCAATTCAAAGCTGGAAAAAATGCCATGCTATTCCGTTTTTACATGCTGATTATGAGAATATCAGATAATCCAAAAGATAAGCACCATTTTAAATATTCTAGCAACCACTGAGAGAGAACACCACTGATTATTCACCACCACTTACAGAATGAAAAATAAGTGTAGTAATGAATCAGCATACTTCTCACTACTGTCAAAAGATGAATAACATTATTGTCTAAAAATGCTTCAGGAGCCAAGAAGGTGAGGCTCACACTTAGAAAGGATCATATTTTCAGGAAAATAGCTCACTTTCTATCTTAAGAAGAAAAAAAATGAAAACAAATTAAGAGAAGCATTATGGCACCTTCTTTTTCCTTTTTATAACTGAATATCTGTCCTGGGTGTACAATGGCTGCATGATAAACTTCCAGATGAATTTTGATAAAAATGGAGGTAAAAGCTAGTGAGCCACTCAGCTTGTCTCAACAATGACAGAAATGCATTGAAGATGTGAAAACTAAAATATAGAGTATATTTGAAATAACTATATTCCAATCAGTAAGTATTGTGCTCTTCCTAACTTTTAAAACACATCTTTGTCATTCAAGAAACATCCCCTCAGTATATATTACTTTAAATAAAAAAAAATACTTATTTGCCGAGACCCTAGCTGGTTATAAGTGACTCAACAGAAGTCATTGTGGTACAGTGTGAACACAAGTGACTCTAGAGGCCAAGGCCCTAAGGTTCAAATCCACACCTGAAATGACATGTGGGAGTTTACCTGAGTCACTTAACATTCCTGGGCCTCAGGTATCTCATCTGTAAATGGACGATTAAGACTTCAAGACCTCTGTGATTCCCTCTGGTTAGAAATCCATGGCCCATGTGCATAATAACGATCTGTGGTTTTGTTTCAGCGGGGGCTCTCTTCATTGATGCAGATGGCATCCTCTACAAGGCAGTTGATGATCTTTGTTATAGGAAAAGAAAAGACTGGAAGCAAAGTGAGTGCTCTGCTATTGGAGAATGGATGGAAAAATTGCATTTTTTAATGCAGTGGGATTTTCCTGTGGCACAAGATGTGAAGATGAAGAATCCTGAGAAATTTGAAAGCCATTAATACAGATGCACAGTTGAGTAAGCTGAGACAGTACATCAGCACACAAAATGACCCACAGGAATAGAACAGAAAACAAGGCTGCCAGACATCAGAATTCACAGCAGTTCATTGACCTATCTTGATTTCAGAGGACTGATGAAGAACCATACCTCTTTGCTCTCAGAACAAATTCTGCAGACTACAGGTACGTATTGAAACACATGAGGTCAGCTGGGGTCGATGGGTAAGTTTGTTTTGCTTATTTATACTTCTTTGTCAGAAGAATGGATTCTGTTGGGGGAGAGGGTAGTATTAAGAAAAGAAAAGGTTTCTTTTGGAGGGATTAATAAAACTTTTTTCCCTCCTGCATGTTCTGTCATTGAAAACTCCATTACTCTCTTCTTGTCAGTGGCCTAGCAATAAGTTTATCCAGGGAATCAAACAACTGAGCTCAGAGAGTCTGAGCTCATTATTTTTATAGATGATCTCTGAAGGCAGCACAGATAAATGCATTTGCACCATGTCACCCAAGACATAAAATTGGAGTTTAAACCCAAGTTCCTCAACTTCAAATCAAATACTCTTTCTACTGTACCATTCTACTTCTAAGGTTCTAAGGCACAATAATGAAGGCCAGCATTGGGTGCAGACCTGAAATGTTCGAGTATAGTAGGAACTACTGGACCTTGTAATCTTCATGACATCAAGGTTGTCAATTCAATGTTGAATTCTTTCCACAGTGACAGCTCAGAGGAAGAGATCATGATAGCCATTACAGAATGAAAATCCAGATATTATACTAAATTTCAATGAATCTCTACCATATCAAATATCAAACGATCAAATGAGATATTATCTAGGGGAACATGGCTTTGATTAGGAAGAGTGACATTACTAACAAGTGAGAATGAAGAGCTTCCTTATAAGTTACTGGTTTACCAAGTAATTTTGACTGAGAATTTAATGAACTATGATTGAATACTTCATTTTGAAAATTTAATGAACCTTACCTCTGATAACAAACTGGGTGTGTGGCATTCCATATAATGTCACATTTCTGCAATGTGTTGCTAAGATTTTCTGAACTGTTTTCCCCCTTTCTTCTTTCTTCTTTATTATATAGTATGACTCTCCCAGAGGTAGGCAGCGAACAATATTTACAAGATGCAGGTGAGGGAAAAATAAAATATATCAACAGAATTGTGAAGGATAACCAAGTGATAAAAGAATGGTAATAGATAGTCTATAGGTGGTGTGATTGTTTGCATTTCCTATCCCTTTTCTACCACTGAAGGGATACCAGGGAGCTGAAGAAAACTGGATGGCCTTGGAGAAATTGAAAAGCTCACTTAATGACTTCCAAGTTTGCTCCTCCAACTCTTCTGTTCCTGCTCTGGGAAAACGAAGCCCATGTTGTTTAATAAGACATTGTAACAAACACAGCATCTGGGTAGGAACAAAGGATCAAAGGTCTTGCTTGTGCAAAGTGACTGTATAGAATTTTGATGTAGACATATTTGAACCCAAATTCTTGGGACATCAGGAATGCTTCCATGTCCCCTGAAGGGAGAATATTCTGTCACAGTGGGGAATGACCATACCTTAGTATTTGCTACAGTATCAATGCAAGGTGTACATTTCTTTTTTTCTTGAGCCAAGGGATTTCATTGATTCCTGCCTGTTTTCCAGTACCGGAGAGATTTTATGAACTTTGATGATGTCTCCCTTTTTTCACTCTTTCTATACCATAGAGTTTATTTTGTTTCTCAGTTTCTTCTCCACTATTTCTTTTGGTTCATCCATGCATTCTATAGGGAGAATTTAAACTTGTTGTATGTACTAGACACTAGGGTAGGAATGATGGATTCATGTAGGAA